CCCACCATGAGGGCAGAAGAATCAGCATTTTTTTGCTCCTCCTAAAGTCAGTCTTGGACTTTCCTGGCGCTTTCTAGGAACGTCCATTCATAGTGTATGGGCACTTGGATTTTTGGTTCTGTTGCTTTCTCCAAGGCACTTCTTGTCAGTCATAACATAAAATTGATGTATGGATCTCTATGTAACATAAGAAATGTTTGCTAAGGGTTACGAAAAGTATGGAGATAGTGATTCTAATTAAAACAATTTTACTGGTATTTTTAGCAAGATTTTCCATTTTCCCTTTGAATTAGTAAATTATACAGCAACATTAACTCATCCCTCCTACCCACATAAACTTCGAGCGGGAGCATATTCTCAATGCCTAAATTTTCCAGAACACGCAATTACAGTCATTGCTTAAGAGCAGCAAAAACTCCTTCCCAGTAGAATTCACTACAACACCTGGCACACAGCTGGCTGTCAGTAATAGATTCTGATGTCTCTGGGTTTTGTCTGCCTGTTATGGTTTCTCATCTTCTGTCTTCTGATTCTCATGAAGACCTCCTCCTTCATCCCTGTGGTCCTCCGGTGTTGTTTTCATGAGGCCCCATCCCCAGTACCACAGACAGGGGTGGGTCTGAGACTCTGTGTGGCCGATTCAAGTACATCATCCCCAGCACAGTGCCTAGTTTAGAGACTGGCATGTGACTCAACATCTGGGCGCTCCACCTGAGAAGGAAGTCTAAGAGGACAGGCTGATGACATCCTTGGAACCACTGTATCCAGCCGTGCTTGAGGTCCCCAACCAGACTTCCCAGACTTTGTTTAAATAAGTTTGAGTTGGATTTCTGTAATTTGCAATCAAAGGAATCCTGATTCATATAGTATTTCATTTGAACAGTTAAAATCATCATGATATTAACTAGTCTGTCATGAAACCCCTCCTTTTTGTAACATTTGGGGTTGTAACATAGGCTTATTTCCATGCTTACAATTTCAATGACCTATCTAAGTTCAAGACACGTTTCGCCTAGAAGCTCATGTCAAACCATTCTTTATTTTTTATGGTACAAATTAAAAGTGACAGATCTGAAGCTGTTAAGAAATACACAAAGTGCAGCTTTACTGACCATACAGATATTGCTCTAGATTAAGTACAGTTTTGTCAGTTTTTTTTTTTTTTTAAACATTAAGCAACCTGTGCAGATAAATCAGCTTTGGTTTCAGTGTCAGAGCAAGTAAGGAGCTTTTAAATATCCAGTTTGGCTTCTTGGTCACAAGTCCATCATGTCAACATCTTGTCATGATGCTTTTTTCAAAACAACCCAGTCTGTTTTCCTGCTGCCCGCTCCAGGCGCGGAGCAGCAGCTCTCTTTGCCACGTCTCATCAGTGACTCTGGTAACCAGTCTGGATCACAGCACGTAGGACAAAAAAAATCACTGCCTTAACAACAAATAGACAAATGTGCCTCACAGAATTTCAAGTTGAAGACAAGCAAATCACGTGACAAAAAGCTCATTACAAAATGTTATTCAAACAGATTTTGCAGTCAAACATTGAAATGAAAATCAATTTCCTTTTTCTCCATTTTTTGTTTTTTAAGCTTGGTCACTAACTGGGTACAAGTAGAGTGCTGAGGTAAAACATTGATGAACAGTTTGTATTTCTTTTTTTTTTTTCTTAAAATAGGAACAGTTTAGTATTGCAAGATTGTCAGCAACATTTAGCCATATCTATACAATGTGCATATACCTACAAATATTGAGCTTTGGTCCAGCGTAGAGAGGACGAGCAAAGGCATTCTACAATTTCTTTTTGGTTATAGCTTGAGTTCTTTGATACGCCTCTACTTGTTTTTTGTTTTTTTTCCTAGCTCCTTTTGCTTTTTTGTTCTCTCTTTTGTGGAGTGTGTGTGTGCGCGTGTGTGTGTGTGTGTATGTGTGTGTGTGTTGTGTGATTACAACAAAAAGAAACCAAAAACCTTGCAATGCAATTAAAACTCTCAACTGTTCACAATGTTTTTTTGACTGAAAAAGAAAAAATAGCCCCACAAACAAGCGTCAAGTATAACATCAGTCGTTTTTTTTCTTTTTCATTAAATGATGAAGAAAATGAAGACAACAGTAATTCAAAAATATGTAAGAAAAATACTGAAGCTTGAAATACAATCACATGTGCCTGAAGCGGCTTTTATTTTTTGTTAGTGGCAACCTTAACCTTCAGTTCATGGAAACCTAAAAGACACTTAAATGCCACTGGCAATGTGAAGTTGTTTACAAGTGGAAATAAGAAATGTCGTAAGAAAATTAAGCAGTAAGTGTGGTCCCCAAGACTTACAAGTTACACAGTATAATTTATATTCCTAAGAATCTGTTCAGGCACCTTTTTATGCCTTGTAGCAAAAAATTTATCTGTAAAAAATTAATATAAGAAGCATTACAACACCTTATAAATAATTTATAAAACAATACAAAATTATAAAACTATAAAAAAAATCACTGCACATGAATGGGTATACGACTGTGGGATGAATATATTTCTTTTTTATTCCACTCTGGAAGATTACTTTTATTTTATATTTTCACTGTCCTAGTTATACCCTCCCAATTATAGATTTCTGAACTGAGCAGGCCCTATGTAAGTGCTGCTGGCATACGTTTCAACATTTAGCATCCATCATATGTTATCTTGTTAACTTCTCTTCTTGGGGAGATTTTCTTGATGGAACTTGGAGCGGGTCCTAGGAGAATACAAAATCTGTTTAATTGATACGTTTTTGGATTTCTGGGTCGTTGGTATCTGTGCAGTTTTTGAGGTGGCCAAATGGGTACCATGATATCGTTGGCACTGAAGATGAAGTTAGCTGTGGTGCAATTAGCATCAGACTGGAGAAGGGAACACCTGTACAAGCAACTGGTTCCACCTCCAGGATTTCATGTAGCGTTTCCTTGCTGCTGGTCCCCTGGTTCCTGCATGCATCATCTGGGAAGGGGGCGTAGGGTGCGGACAGTTGTACCACTGCACTGATACCACCGGCAGCGGGGCCAAAAGAAGAAACCCAAACCCGTACGGGGGAGGGTGTGTGTTAGGGGAAGAAGATGGCATTTCCAATCAGTTGGGCAACTTGAGTTTTTTTCTCTCCCACAATTTACTTCTAGATAGCATTAATTATTAACTAATTATTCGGGAATATTTCCATCTCGACAGCAAGGAAACTGACACTCTCTTTTGCCCGACCCTATAATGGAACACTTTTTGCCTCTCCCTGCGGAAAACATCAACCACAGGTCCCAAGTGTTTACCTGCACAGAAATCCTCACATCTTACTTTTTCCCTCTGGCTTATTAGGTTATTTTGGCCCACAGATCTTTGGAGTAAGTTTTTTTGAAAAGTGAAATAATCCCTTAGTTCTAAGAGTGAAGGCTATTCTGATGTGCTCGATAAGCCACTTCTGTATTTTTCCTTTTAGTGGAGGCACTTCCTTGTTAACACTTCCTTTCCCCTCAAGAGTCCAGCTGCAATTCCCATTGTTTAATTCATCTGCCAACTTTCTCCTCCGTTTATATATCCCCAAAAGAATCGCCCTCCCCCCCGCCCCGAAAAAAGTCTGCCATCACTATTTGAATGAAAGTGGTAGCAGAAAAGATGGAATTTACAGGATGCATGATGGCCTTTAACAATCCAGTCACTCACTCTCTTTCTCTCTCTCTCTCTCTTTTTGGCCTGTGTGTATGTGGGTGTGTGCATGCTATGTGTGTATTCTGACTGAAATCTCGAGACATTTCTTTGGCTATCAGACTTCTGAGAGAAATTGCTTTGCACAGAAGCATAACACAGATGTAAGTATTGAACCAAATGTGCAGCTTATGTTTATATTACAAAATTAGTTTTGGTCAGCTCTCCATGTACGTGGCCAACAGACTGAGAAAAATCCCAAGCCCTGGTGTGGATAGTGGGCACAATTACAGCTTATGCCAGTGTTGACAGTTCATCGAGCAAAGCCCTAGTTATTTTGGAGTCTCTCCTGCGTTTCACTGGGGTCTGAGTGGAAAAGACACCATGCCCACTCTGTGGCCTTCCAGCAGACACTGGGAGCCACACGCGGGGGGGATGGACAGATGGATGAAAATGAGAAATGCGAGCTCCATTTTCTTTTCTCAAACCCACAGGTCATGGTGAGAAGAAAGCAACGGATGCTTTGGCACACGATCCAGGATGCCCCCCACTCAAAACAAAGAGAGAAAAAAAAGGAACCCCCTCCCCCCAAATAAAAACCAATAGTGAGCCTCACAAAATGGCTTCAGCAATGGCACCCCCCCCACACAGGGGGTGACAGTAGATGGGAAAGATGAGAGAAGTCAGGCTTGCTATTTCTCCGCAAAGTACAAATGTAAAAACTCGGAACACAGCTTCACACGCGGAGGGGAGCAGACTAATGGTCGCGTTGGCAATGTCGTGTTTCTGACTTTGGTTAATAGGTTCATAGTGAATCAGCACTTAGAACCTGAAGGATGCCGTCCGCAGCCCCTCCTCCAGGTGGTAGGCTTGTATTCGCTTTGAACAGAGAAAAGTTTCCTTTGTGTGTTGTTGGTATTTTGTTTTTTGTGGGTTTTTTTTGGTTTAGTCATTTTTCTTAAAATGTGTTCACATTTTCATAATACACAGAAAAAAGTAAGTGGTTATTTGGTTTGCTTTAAGTCCATTATAAAACTGGCTTTGGGGAGACAGGTCGGGGAGGGAACGAGCCTTCCTGCATACACCTGCACTGTGGTGTAGTCCTTGTTTAAAAATTTTCAAAAAGCCTTTTTTTTTCTTTTTTGGAAAATCCCATGGACACGTATAAACCATCCTGTCCACTTGGTGGCTTTCTTAGTCTTTTACTTACAAGGGTGATGACTGGGGCTACCTTAAAATTTGTTTTTCTTTTTTTCTTTTTTGGGGGTTTAGGGGATGAAGCCCCAAGGGTGGAGTTTAGTTTCTGTGGAATTTTTTTTTCTGATTCCGGGTGGGCGTCTCTTTAGGAATTTTCTTCCAGTGAGTCTGTTAAGGGTTCCAGAGGGACTGCCGTGGCCGGCTCGTGCTGTTTTAAGCGTTTAATTGTGTTCTTCAGGGCTTGCCTCTTATTGCAGAACCAAACTCTAACTACTTCCCGGTCATAGTTCAGCTTCTCGGCAATTTCGGTCATTTCCTGCCCAGAGGGGTGCGTGTTCTTCTCAAAGTGGGCATTGAGGATCTCAAGGGCCTGGGGCGTGAAGGAGGTGCGCCTCTTGCGCTTTTTGGACGGTTCACTCCCGATAAACTCGGTCAGGTTCTGCATACCTGCCCGATGGCGGGCCTCAGCCTCAGCCATCCACCGCTCAAGCACCGGCTTGATCTTCTGGGCACTTTTAGGGGTGATGTCCAGCTTTTCAAACCTGGCAGGATACAAAAGGCCAGGGTTCAGTTTGGCTGTCAGACTGCTAGCTATAGTGTTCTCTTGGGCTTCCTGTGGTAGGAAAAAGTGGCTTCTCAGGATGGTGTGTCTGGGGGGAAAATTGAAAAAGAACAGTCTTACACTGAGTCCTCTGCCAGGGTGGGCCTCCTGCCTGCCTGCCTGCCTGCCTGCCTGCCTGACTGACTGGCAGAGCAAATTCACTCCAGAGAAGCAGCCAGCTGCAAGGTAGCCCTCCCCGCTCAAGCCAGCACCCGCCCTCCCGCATGCTTCATGCCCCTGCATGCAGCCTGGACACCCACAAGCGGGCCAGGTGAGCACGGGTGGAGACAGCACAACACAGCAGCCATCACGATGGAAACAAAAACCACTCGCAGATCTTTTTCCTGGAAATGCTTGAGATCTGAGCTTTGATTTGAATCCACCCAGCACCATTTCCCCTGAACTTCAGAATCCTTAAGGCAAAAATTAACACCAGGAAGTGACATCAAAGACAACAGCTGTCATGTTCTTTCGTTTAAAATGATTCTTTTTATGTTTTCCTTTTGGTTTCCTTAAATTCCCCCCACTGACTTGGTGATAAAAATGTTCTATCTATGCTAATCGTCAGTGATGGCAGCCGGGACAAGTTTCTTTTATGGTTCTCTTTTCATCTCTGTTTTGTGTCTCATTTTAATCTCTTTCTCTCCCCCGGCCCCCAGCCCTCTCCCGTCTCTGTCTCTGGTAACAAACACTTTTCACCATATGTAAGTTAACAACACTTTTCACCATATGTAAGTTAACAACATGCTCCCTTTTCTGGTAAAACATAGCCCCTTGCTACTTTACTGCTGGACTCAAAGAGCTGGACACACTGTAATTGCTATGAACACCGCCCCCCCTCCCCTGGATGTGCTAGGGCCACCTCATGCCTTCCAACACCGTCCAATGTAATGGTGTACTTTTGCATCAGAGTATCAAGCTGTGTTTAACGTGCTATATCTGCAAACTGTACTTGAATGATATCATTTTCTGTAAATGAGGTCTTCTATATATCAATTGCCATCTGCAATTCTTTGCTACACTGACTTAAAAAAAACTATGAAGCATCTTGGACAAAACTATCTAGAGTGTTTTAAGAGGTCATCCTGGTATCAAATTCATATGCACTCTCAACGAAATACAAAATAGTACCAATTCCTTTTATTTGTTTGTTTGTTTGTTCTAAATCCAAATTCACAGCTCTCCAGGATGACAGCTTTGGATCCATGGCATTCTCCTCTATCGTTTCAAGTTCAGTGCTGTCAAAAAACAACCCTCTGACTGCAGAGTGCATCTTATTACAATAGACTGTTTTCATGGAGCGAAAATGAACCCGCTTTAGCCGCAGTATGTTTTATAAGGATGCTTGCAAAAGGACACAAAAGGATAGGCTTCCTTTATGTGCCTTAATCTTATTTTTGGCACTGCATTTTAGATATCTTATGTTGTGATAAGCAGCACCAATAGTATCAAATTTTAATGTGATTCCGATAGCATTCCCTTCCAGGTATAGCTCAAGGAGTTATTTATTTATTTATTTTTAAAAATCCCAACTTTCAGCTGGTCAAAGAGGAAAGAAGTACATTTTGCTTTCAATATAAAATGAATGAATTATTTAATGCCATTTAATGAGCTGCTTCACTTATGGCAGGCTCCCCTAAAGCCTTCATTGCTGTGTTCACTTACCATCATTCACTATAAAAGCCCCAAACCTGAAGTCTTGGTAGCATGACAACAGGCTTTACAGCGCCACGGCATGGGGCACAGAGCTTGTGATAGGGATGTCCAGTGTATTGCTGGTGTGTTTTCCTCTGTGTCTCTGATGCAGACGCACTTGTTAAAGCATCTCGAGTCACTGCAGCTCATAAGGGAGGAGGGACACCAGAGTGTGTGCAAATGCAGATTCTTCACCACCATGTAAATTAACTGGAGTGGTTCCACTGTTAGATCTTGGTCTCTTTCAAGACTTCCATTTTTGTTTTGTTGGTAGTTAGCTCCGAAAACCACCCCGCTGAAACACTAGAAGCTAGAGAAAGGCCGAAAAGTCAAGGCATCTGCCATCTTCTATTAGACAGTGAATTCCCAAAGTTGCTTTTCATTTCGGCCATAGCTTTTTTGGCTTCCGCAGGGGAAGATTTTAGAAATCAACATATTTGATTGGGAGTGCCCAAGAAACATTATGTGTGTTATTGAAAACCTTGGATAGCACTTAAGCCACGAAAAGGAAATCACACTTTAGGACTAAGAAATAAGCCAAAGAGGACTTCAGCAACGATAGCACATGGGCAACAACCTCAAAACCTGTGGCGTGCCTTTATCACAAGGCTGTTGAGATGAAACAAAGTTAATGCTTCCCAACAGGGAGCAAGAGTATTCATATCATTTGATGCTGCTTGTTAGTGTTGATGCTTCGGTACATGTTGTCTGGAATAACATATACAAGCCTTGAAACAAATTTCCCAGCAGTAGTATCCTTGTATAGACTGAATAAAGGTTATTTTCTACAGGGGGGTATCTTATAAGAAAAAACAGTAGGGGAGGCCAGAGAAGTGAGAGGATCCTATGGCGCTTTTTGTATTTAACAACAATCAATGGGTTTTATGGAAAATCATTGAGCAAAATGTGAGCTGCAAGCTCCTACCCCATACTGATGTTATTTATAACCTTAGTCTTAAACTGCAGGAAAAGTACACTTCTGTCCTTTGGGGAATACATTAAAAGTATAAAGAGCAGATAAAAAGACAGCATTTCATGGATCACCAAGAACAAAATCCACTTAAATGAGTTTAGAGTTGGTTTCTTGGCTTTTCCTGATGTAGGAGGACTCATAAGACATTGCCCAAGAGGAAAAAGCTCTTACCGAAGTGCCTTTGTTACCTCATGCATAAACATGGGATTAGTGCAACACACACATGCATGCGCAGGCAGGGTCTGCTTCTGGCGGCTTGACCCAGATCAACTCAAACACAGCCAAGGCTGGCTTCTGTCATTTATGTGTTTAATTTTGGGAAGGATAGGGTGAGGTTAGGCCAAACCCTCACTACCCTTTTCTGAGCTATGGAAAGCAGCTGCTTCTTTTTTTAAAAATGTGCTTTTAGACTTGTGCCTGGCAAGGCAAGGTTAAAAATTCCTTTGTGGTCACAGGATGGTTAATATATATTTTTTTAAGGTGTGTTTTCTTGGGAAATCCGGATAGCCATCCCTGAGCAGAAACGGTGGGAGCATTAACACCACCTGGGACTGGCAGCTTCACGACATCAATCCACAGACAGGAGACAGTGGATCTCAGCTGCGTAGGACGGTGGGTTCAGAAGCTTCTGGCCCCCCACAGTGGGGGGAAGGTGTGTATTTCCAATGAAACCGCCTTGGAAGTTCTTTGTGAGTTGACAGGAGTTATCAAGCCAGGCCCCCAAGTCTGCTTTAGCAACTCCACTTCCGTCAATATCACCAATCCCAACACACAGCTACCCCAGACTCCGTTCCCACACTCCACCCCTCCAGCTCGGCCCACCCAAAGAAGAAAAGCTGAGCCGAGAGGACAGACGAGGCCCGGGCCAGCCAGGAGGGGTGACAGCGCGTGGGCACGGGTTACCTGCAGATGGCCGACTGGCTGTACGCGGGACCCTCTGTGGCACTGAGAGCCTGGCCCACCTGAGTCTGGGTCAGGCCAAGGGACAGGCGCCGGATTTTAAAAGCTTTGGCAAATTCTCGGATCTCCTCCAGATTAACCCCATCCACCTCACCCGCTGCCGTCTGAGGATCTGTGGAGATGTTTGCAAAAAATAGGATCAATGCGTCAACGCACATCTCAGTGCTATGCGTTCTTGACGGCTGAGGAGAAAGTGGCTCGGTTCCTAATAGCAGAGCAGTGGGAAGCCACACCGCAGAACGTTCTTTGTCTGCCAGCTGAGGCACTCAAGCCCCCATCCTCAACTCATTCCACCTGCACAAATCATCCTGCAAGGTAGTCCTGTCCCAGATAAAACCACGGCAAGCCTACCCTGCCACTTCCACAATGCAAGAGCGAGCTCCTTACCGCTTAACAGACTGCAGCCAGGGCAGGGGGGCACCAGCTATGGGGGGATGCGACTCCATTTTGCCCACAAATATGTTCAGATATCATGTAAAAATATAAAGATGGAAAGCTTTCCATTTGAAATGTCTTAGCTGGACGCTTTAGTGCTAAGAATTGCCCTTGAAAAAAACCAGTATTTTGTATTTTCCTGTACCTGATCACCGCTGCAGCCAGGCTAACAGATGGTAACGTTGCCTAATTTATTATGTTCACATTAGCCCCTCAGAAGAGCATGCTTATGAAGCTGTGAGACTAATAGCCTCCCCCCACCCCACATAGCAATTTCCTGACACAGACACCTTTGTCCCCTGAAAGGGCACAGAATAAAAAATGCCTACTGCAGGAAAGGCTCCTTTGGTGCCAGATAACTCGGTCGCATCTGCCTAACCTATGCTAAGGATGCATTATGCTAGGATTTATTTTAAGCTTTTGAAATGTCGTTCTTCCTCCCTTCCCTGTTTCCTCCCTCTTCCTTCTGTACTGTGGTGAAAATCTGAATACTCATGATTTCCCTTCCTAAACTTCAAAACTCCTATGCTTTGTGACAGTTTCTGAAGTTATCAGTGGGTTATAAACATTTTCAAAGGGCTGTTCCATCCTGCCTGGAGCGAAGCCATTCTCCCTGCAAGCTGACTCTATTGTTCTTCACCTCATTCCCCGGACTTAGGTGAAAAGTTTTTCTCTTCCTCTTTCTGCAGAATCGCCCACCAATTTCAGTCAATTACAGGACTTGTGTAAGGAACTGGGGTGGACCATATTAGTCTTCTGGGCTTCGGGCTATAGAAACTCCTCTTATCATGAAAAGAAATACATTGGTACCCCAAGGACCAATTTTTCAAGGACTTTTAAATAAAGATGTTAATGTCTGTGGCGAGGGGCCTTGGAGCTTCCTGTATAGATTCTCTCATTATAGGGGAAATGGACTCTGTCAACAGAATCAGCCACGGAGGCGTACGCTGTACCCGTATCTTCTCAATAAAAACAAAGTCCTGTAGAATTTTTACACATCATGAAGCATAATTTCATGGAGGAAAGATGGGTGGAAAGTGGTAATAATAACTGCAGTTAGTCTCTGAGTATTTCTTAAGTGACTCCTAGGAGCCCTAATGAGTGGAGAGAAGGAATAAGAGAAAGAGAAGGGGCAGTTCCAGCCTCTGTGGAGTTTGCTGTCTACAGGGATTTGGGGCTCAACATTACGAATGAGAAACAGAGAAAAATACCAGGTTGCGTATAGTCAAGGAGTAGTAGTGTTGCACCCACACTGGAATTTACAGAGAAGGGAGAGGTGTCAGGAGGGAGGATTCATCTGGGTCTTACCCAGTGAGCAGCTTTCAGAGAATATTCTGGTCAGTGGGAGCAGGGTGCAGACGGGCACAGATGCAGGGGAGGGGCAGAGCGCGGTGGAGGCCTGGGCAGGGGGCTTGGTAGGGGGCAAAGGGGAGCCTGTGCTGGGAGTGGTGAATATTTCAGTTTAGGACATTGAGAATCTATGTCCATGGACGGGGGCAGAGGGTGACAATAAAACTAATTTGGCTGTTAAGATTAATTAAGACCCTGCTTTTTCTCCCCAACTTCACCCCGGAAGGCCGGCATCATTTGATTAACAGAGACTTGTTTGGGTTCTGCCTGGTGGGAGCTGCCCTCTGGATCTTAATTCCCGCCAGCGTGGAGCAGCTTGGAGGGTTTGCTAAGGATTCCGGGAGGTCCCATCCACGCACACAGCAGCTTTGAGCCCCTCCTCTGTTTCTTAGTTTAAAAATTCCTAGAGCAGGGGCTTCCCTGGTGGCGCAGTGGTTGCGAGTCCGCCTGCCGATGCAGGGGACATGGGCTCGTGCCCTGGTCCGGGAGGATCCCACATGCCGCGGAGCAGCTGTGCCCGTGAGCCATGGCCGCTGAGCCTGCACGTCCGGAGCCTGTGCTCCGCGACGGGAGAGGCCACAACAGTGAGAGGCCCGCGTACCGCAAAAAAAAAAAAAAAAAAAAAAAAAAATTCCTAGAGCAGAAGTTGCAAATGAGCAGCTTGCAAATAAAACTCAGCTTTTCGAGTGCGTACAATTTGGGGGAATTTCTGGCCAACAGTAAACACTGGGAGATTTCTAAAGAATACTTTAGATTTGTCATGTTCTTCTGAAACGTTAGAAGGTTTGGTGGCACCAGGTCCGCATCTGCCCTTGGGAGCAGTCAGCTGGCACTGGTCCAGGCCGCCCCTTCAGTTCCTACTCCCCAGCCCTCCCCAGACCTGCGGCCTTGCTGAACCTGTGTGGTGACCCTGCGTTTACAGCACGCATTCCCGAGGGGGCAGAAGTTGGTTCTGGATGTGGTCCCCCCAGGACCGAGGTACATAAACAGAACCGATGTGCGGTATCCCTGTGATATTAACATTTCATAGGCGAAGGGGGGCAGCGAGGATAGGAAAGTCTAAATGGGCTCCTCGTAGGGCTGGGAGACAATAATAAACTAAGAGCTGAGAAGGTCCGGTGCAGAACACAGAGGGACACTTGGTATAGCACAGCACAGGGAGTGGGGCCTGGCCTCTCTCCGAGAGAGAAGGAAGAGGAACTCATGGCCTTGCAAATGTGGGCAGCGGAGGTTCAAAACTGAGGGTGAAAAAAATGGAAGCCGCAGACTTTCCTTGTAACGATATGGCTTTTGGGACAGTGTTTTTTTAAAAATTAGGTAGGTCTAGGAGTCACCTGATGGGACCCTGGATGTGCATTTTTAACAAGTACCCAGGCGATTCTGATGCAGAGGACCCACTGACCCCGCAGACAGAGGCTTTCGCTGCGGCCCTGGCCTGACTGAGTCTGGGTGTGGCATCCTCTGCATGTCGACCCTTCACCTGCACTCGACCCTTTACCATCATTATTCACCAGGTTCCACTACACAGAGAACTTGCTCTACCACCTTGGGTAAGATGATGGGCCAGAAAGACTACTGAGCAGGTGCCCCGTCCTTGCCTTCCTCCACCCCTGGCCTCACCGTTTATGGCAAGTGGCAAACAACTGGGACCAGTGGGCTGGGGTGGCCGTTGTTGGGAGTCTGGAGTTGGGGGGGAGATGTTTTCTCTGAGAAAAGCAAAGTAGCTCCTGTGGGAAGTAAATCTGTTGCCTTACGTTAGCCCCATCTCTAGATCAACAGGAATCAACTGAAGGATTCAGCTGATCTGGAAGGCTCTCCAAGGTCTACTCCAGTCCCAGGGTCTGTGCTGCCACCAGAGTTGGCAGCGCAGCACCAGGCGGGTTTATGACTGGGATACAATTTTGTGTAAGTCTATTCTAGTTTATGCCTTGCCTTCTCCTGCTGCCTTTGTTGTTTATCTCCTTCCTAGTTCCTTGAGACCAGCGACTAAATCCATTGTGTGTGATTGTGCAAGTGGCTTTTGGCCAGATCGCTGATAATAACCAGAGTCAAAAAGAAAGCTATGGTCTCTTATCCCCTTGCCCTGAGCAGCTGTGCGGATCATCAACAGTTTTACTCTGAAGCTCAGAGAGGTGGGCGCCTTGCCCCCTGAGCCCTTGGACTTCTGTGAGGCCCCAAACACTCATCACACCAGGAAGCTGAATTCCTTCTTTCTCCTCTCGCACATTTCCCACTCTTGTCTTCTTCCTGGTTCTACTTCTAGAGCTGATAAGTTAGGAATTCTGGTGAAATTTAAACAGGGTGACAGTCTATTGGACAAAGGTCTGGGGAGAGGAAACCAGTGTCTCATTGTCTGTGCAATTTGTTGATTGCTGGAGACGAGCTGCTTGGCTTTCTTTATATTATTGTTCTCATCCATAAGAACCAGACGGCACCCTGTATTATTATGGTTTCCTTCCATGGATCCCAGGACTACAAAAGTCTTCACATCCAAAGAAGGGGTCCACCCATGGACAAATATTAGTCTTACCCTGATTACAACATGTGGGACATGTCTTCCCACATAGGGAGAACGCATTAGATGGTGTCTGTAAGTTGTTTTGAATTAACAAAAAAACTAATGCCTTTTTTTTTTTTTTTTTTTTTTTTCCCAGAGAGTCCTGCTTCTCGAAAGGGCACATTCAGTGTAATTCAGCCGAGGTGTATCTCACCCCTGGCGGGGTGAGAATTCCACTGGGGGTCCCACCATGGGGGGGCCTCACCATGGGGACTCATTTTAGAGTTGCCAGGTTTAGCACATAAAAATATAGGACATCTCCTTAAATTTGAAAAAAAAAAAAACAAATCCTTTTTTTTTTTTTTTTTTTTTTTTTTGGTGCCAAAGTTTCTGTCTTAAACTCTTGAGGTTTTCTTCCCCACTGCTGGACATTCCCCTTCATTAAGGGTTATATGCTTTTTCTATTTCCATCATGTCATTCCTTCTGGCTCTGGGGAGGTTGGGTTCATTTTAAGGATGAATGTCAGGCCACCCTGATGGTGACTTCAGAGGGAACCCTCAGGCCCCCCCTCAGGGTGGATCCAGCATCTTTAACCAGCTCTAGGGAAACCCAGTCTGGGACTTCTCTGCACTGAGGAAGAAGTGCACCTCTTACAGAAGTTTTTGCTCCGGATTAAGTCGGCCCAGTATATTGAGTACAAAGCCGGGAAGCAACGACTTCCACAGTTCTCCCTGAATCTGAGCCTTGCTAAAGGAGCCAGAAGATCCGCCTACATAGGGATTGACTGGCCTGGAGATTTATAATACACTGGCATTGAATGTTGGCAGTGATTCATAAGTATAATGATGACGTTTTTCCCAAATCAAATCCGGAATGCATGGGCTGAAAAATAAAAGAGTTCTTTGGGAGCTAAATGCAAATTGGGTGAACACAAACCTGTTCGGTAGAATCTGGTTGCATGGTCACTGGGCCCATACTGAATTGAGCACTCAGGACGGACCAGCACAGATATTTGTTTTGTTTAATTTTTAAAATTTAGCTCCTTCCAACTGCTCACCTGGACATCAGTGTAAAAGGGGTTTTGCTAAATGGGTCGAACAGTTGCCATCCATCCACATCTTCCTTCTATCGTTTCCTTCTATCGTTACAAGGAAAGTCCCTCTGCTTGTGGGACTGTTACAGGAGAAACATGCATCTATAAAGAAGGTGCCAGGTATGACTTAACTGCCTTCTGAACATCCATCTGCTTTTCAGTGCTCCTCTCACAGCAAATAATGGGCATATTTACCAAATATTTCTGAGAAATAAGAAACCATTTGGGAACGTGCAATGCAATTTGGGAGAACAGCTTGCTTGCAATACGGTGACTTCATTGAGTTGTGGAAAATGGTGTGAAACTGATCAAGTGAATCAGGGGTTCCACTGTGCCATAAGCTATCACCAGGCATCTTTATGTTCACTTTATAGTTTGGGTTTTTCTGATATTAACTCTCAGTCCCTTTGCTGTCTAAGAATTAAGTTTACAGGCCAGGGGTTTAAAAAAAAAGTGTCCTGAAAAACCAAACCAAACCAAATCCATCGAAGAATAAAGAAGTCCCACGTCCACCTGTTTTTAAACAGTAACTGTGTAAATCCTAAGTCAATTTGGGACTTTGTTTTTTGTTTGACTCTTCTAGGCTTTCCAAAAGCCCTGCTATGGAGACTACAGTTAGCCCTGGTGACTGAGGAGACCAAGCAAGGTTTGACACAGGGCAGGCTGTGCAGGTGCTGTGAACAGATGTGCAGACGTCTTAAGGAGTGAGCCTATTTGGTGTTAACCCTGTGTTCTTTTGCCTGGAGTAGGGCAGGTTATGGACGATCCACCCACTCCAGTTGATCTGGAGCAATGGCAGATGGCCCAGCACTGGGCAACCGTGCCCGTGACCTGTGAGGGTCCATTCACCAAGGTTTTGACCGCAGGTTCAAATCCATTTTGACCTGTTTTGAACTATGGCCTTGGCCTAGTGGAGGGGTTTGCTGACCCATTCACCATCCCACTTAATTCAAGGATTATTTACTCCAGCCAGTCCTTCTGTTCTGTCTCAGTCTCCAAAACTGAGTTCACTCTCTCCTGTATTGCCATAGTCTTTATTGGTACATTGACCATAGCATTTGTTTCCCTTTAGTGTAACTGTGTTTCTTTGTTATCAGTTCATGACCTCCGCCCAGGCGGGGACCACATCTAGCTTATTTCTGCTTTCTTAATATCTGTCCCTGTGCCTGCATACACATGGTGCTCAAAAAGCTTATTTTTTATTTTTAAGTTGACATCCTCTGACTAAAACACGCTTTTCCCTCCTGTAATTTAATCCGTGTATCAACTCCATCTGAAGTATGGGGTCGGGTCTCCCTACATTAGCTTACTTGCAAATTTGGTAAAGTTTAATCTCAGAAAAAAGTAATTTTAAATGCATAGTTCATGCTTGAATATAAATTTCAAAATATGCAAGATGTCTAGTTTTTCTCATATTGGCTCAGAGAAAAAGCTTGTGCTTTAATTGCAAGACATGGCTTCAGGCATTTAAAAATTATTTGAAGAATATTTAGGTGATTTGATAGAGTTTATCGTTCAAATCGCACTGGATAAAATTTATGCGAAAGCATCCTGTCTTTTAAGGCAGCGGTGCTGTGTAGAACGTGTATGACCCATTGAGTCCGGATGTCTGGGTTATCCTTCTGGCTTTGTCACCCAGGAGACTGATCACACACTGCCTCTCAACTAAGACTGAATCTGGTCTCTCTGACATAAGATGGTCGAGATGGGTTGTACTTTTCAGGATCTATTTGATGCCAGCTTCAATATCTGAAAATGAGAATTTATATTACCTTGTTGTGAGTATTCAAATCAGAAAAATAGTGAAAGTGCTTTGAAAACCCTACTTTGCAGAAGGAGGCTTAAACAGAGGTTTGTTGAGGGCGTGGTAATCAGCATCAGAAAATGCTCTCTAGCAGGGTCTTGAGACAGAAGGGAATTAACTAAACAACATGCTCAAAATCTGTAGCAGTTGTAAGCCCAGCAATGGGTTTGTGTAAAGTGCGGCGCCCGGTAGTGGTACTCCTGGACCCTCTCATATCTGCCAGAGAAGGCTCCTCTTTCACCTTCTGCGTATGAGTTTGCAGTTTCTTGCTTCAAGTGCATGTGGTAAAGGAGTCTCTTTTCCCCAGTTCTGTGTATTTCTCATCAAGGATATGCAATGTGCAAGGTTCACTCATTCTACACGTAGAACCTAGATATCCCATTGGCCACTGTGCAATTGAACTCTCATTTGGCCCATTAAGTAGCTCTGGAAAAGGCTAGTCCTTTCCTGCCCAGCTTGAGTGCCATCCATCCGTCTGTCTGTCCATCTATCCGTTCATTCACCTCTCTGTCCATCCAAAATGTATTGAGTGTTTACCTTGCATAAAATACTGTATTCGTGGGGTATTTTGTACTTTTCATATTTAAACATTTCATATTTAATTTATTTCTTCTCTATAAGATGTTTGATATCCGTTCCTTTTCTTTCAGGACCAAAGCTTAACAGTCTATTGTAAATTTATGACCTCGCTGCTATTTAGAAATAGAGTGTTTTACAGAAGGTTTTGCAGAAGAGCAAACTGGAACAAAGTTTGAATCTCTTCTCACAACAACCCTATGAGGAATTTCTTTGTTGGGGAAAAAAAAATCTGGTTATAATTAAATTAATTTTTTACGAGTTTACTCGAGTAAGACTAGACTTTTTTGGCCCAAATGAGAGGAGTTATATATCTAAACAACTTAAAATAACAGGTTGATGGCAAACTCCATCAAATCCTGAAACTCTGTTTGGTATTGACCCATTTTTAAAATCAAGAGCATCCAGGCTAGTGTACTGAAGTACTTGGGCATTTTAATATCTTTCCATAATCTCTCATTTTCTTCTCCATTCCACAAGCATCTTTCTTTCCTGAGTTATCCATATAATTGAATATCGATGTATATATGCACACATATATGTACGCACATGTATATATGTACATATATATTTTTGGCGGGGGGGTTGCTTGTCGGGGGAAGACACAGCGACCCTCCAGTTTGCCTTGCATTTCCAGACTTGCCCTATGATATGGAGAGTCCCTACTGTTCCTGTTATAACAGGTCATTCATGACACTTGACCAAACACAGATACTTACATGTGTCCTTGTTTTATGGCACAGATGCCTCTGCAGTGCTTTAGCCTTTAAACCCGTAACTGTTGGATATCTGGTGCCTGGAGAATTATAATCTATGCACATATTCTGTCATTTTTATATATAAGTAAAAATTGCACTAAAGGTGAACAACATTAAATTAGACCACTGTCACGTTCATCTCTATGTGTTTCTACTTGCATGTGATACATATGCTGTCTTCACCTAGGGCCAAATACCATTGCTAAAATGTGTATATGCCGCCCGCTCAGGGAAGCCGACTTGCAGCCTTCGGTTCTTTTGTGAACGGTTGTTCAGAGGTTTCTCACTGGATTCCGCCCATGCAGCTTCCCCTCGCACCCCCGGAGGCGGCTCATGGTGCACATCCCCCCTCCCCGCCCACAGGTGCTCTCTCTTATTTCCTCTGACACCTGCAAATGGAATGGCAGGGGACCTCACACACACGGAAAGGCAGCCTGACCTGCCGGCCGAGTGCCAGCTGCTGGCTATCTCAGTTCTGAGCTCTGTGGCTCGTGCCCTGAAAGCTGGTCAGTTTCTCGCTTCTGAAGCGGCCGGACTGACTCAGCACATCAGAAGGCGCCTGAGGTGGAAACGGCCCCTCCACGTACACATTTGGGGGGGTCGGGGGGCCTGCTTCCCCAAGGAACCGTCTGGCCCTGGGCACGGACCTCATCCCCATACTGGCCCGGCAGGGCCAGGAAATTCCTGTTCAACTTGGAAGAAGCAGAAAGAGAGGGAGGGAGGAAGGGATGTAGGGATGCACGGGGGTGGGGTGGGAGGAGAGAGAGAGAGAGACATTGCAATTAGGCAACGAGAAGGCCACCATGGCTTAACGGAGCCAGAAAGGATACTTACTGCTGACCAACTGGCCCACGCTCAAAGCCGAAGAGGAGGAGGATGAGGAGGAAGCAGAGGAAGGCTGCCGGGCGGGGCTCTGAGACATGGCTGCTTGGCTGTGAGCCAGGTGCAGAAGGCTGCTTTGGGAGGCTGCTTGACCCACCGACGTCTGGGAGGGTTGGTGGAGCTACAATGGGGGATATAAAAAATACACAAAGGCATGAAAAATTAGAAGGGAAATGCCAGGGAACAGAAGCGTCATCTGGGGTTGAATCATTTCCAAGAATATACGCTACTCTGGAAGAGTGCACACCCTACACAACAGGGAGGATTTTTTTTTTTTTTCATGTGGACCATTTTTAAAGTCTTTATTTAATTTGTTGCAATATTGCTTCTGTTTTATGTTTTGGCTTTTTGGCTGCGAGGCATGTGGGATCTTAGCTCTCCAACCAGGGACTGAACCTGCACCCCCTGCATTGGAATTTTTTTTTTTTTTTTTTTTTGTATATAATATGTTGCTGCTGCCTTGACAGGCATTTTATTAGTAATTCTAAATATATTATTAATTTCTTACTTAGCTTGCTGGAGCACCCAATTTTCTACATTTCCTGACCGCGGTGTGCCATCGGACTCTTTCTGCCTGTTCATGCAATTGCAGTGCACTTGACAGGCTTCTCAAGAACGTATAGATAAAATATAACACCTACCATCAACTCGGAATGCAAACCGCAATATCAAAGGCAGGCTGTGCCCAGCCATTTTGTCTTAGGTAACTGGTGTTTCTAGGAAAGTTCCAATTTAGGCTGAGTGTATATGGGAACTTCCTGCGCTCCCAGACCGAAGAGTCTGGGTGTATTACTGTGGAGTCGGAAAAAATGCTCTCTAAGATCCTTTGGAAATTAAGAAAGAAATTGGGGCAGTCAGGACAAAAGTACTGATTAATATTTGTAGCTCTCTGTTGTCACTGTCTTACTCTGTGCCAGCACTTTGTTTGGGACTTTTATGCCCTCTCATTTCACTCCTACGTCAGCCTGAGAAGTAGGTATGATTTTGACCCCTTTTTTTACCAACAAGGAAGCTGAGGCACAGAGAGTTTAAAGGATTCAGTCAGTTCCTTTGGCAGGTGGGGAGGATCTGCTCTCTGGGCCCGTGAAGTCTGACCCCAGGGCTTGAGCTCTTAGTCATAGCGCCTCAAGAAAGAATTCGCTTTTAAAAAAATTCTGTGTGCCGTAAGGAAGGTGGTCTTTATGTCCATGTGCTCATGACTCCTTTACAGGTCATCAAAGTGCTGTTGTTCTGAGAGCTGAGAAGCTCAGCTGAGGGGAGGAAGAAGAGAGAAAAGGGAAACGCTTGCAGGTGCCGGGTCCGCTTAGATGCCCGGGAGGGGTCTCCACCCATGTATTGACTCTCTAGGAAGCTGACACAAAGGGCAGCCCAGGACCCAGCACAGGTGCACAGGTAGCCTCAGCAGTGGCCACCTTTGTTGGTTAGACAGAGTACTTTACAAAGTGCTTTCATAGCCATCATCACACTCCCAGAGGTGTAGGAAGGTCTTTATAAAAGGTTTTTATAAAAAAAAGTCAGACTGGGGGCAGAATCAGGCCAAGCCCTGAACTTTGGTGGAAGAGCCACGACGACACAAAATCAGGCGCTGATATTTTACCACCTCCTCGGGATTTAAGAGTCAGCCCGGGAGGTTTCAACTTCACACTTGTCCCTGCTTTCCCAGTGTGTGTTCAATTTCTCATTCAACTTTACCGAGATATAATTTACACATAATACAATACACCCATTTAATGCCAACATTTTGATGAGTTTTGTCGAATGTATACGTCTGTGAAACCACCACATAATCAAGTTACAGAACCATCCTATCATTCTATGAAATTCCCTAAGCCCCTTTGCGGTCAATTTTCCCTCACCTCCTGGCTTTCTGCCATAATGGACCCATTTGGCATGGCTCTATAAATGGAATTGTATGGCATGTCCTCTTTCTGCATCTGGCTTCTTTTGCTCAGATACCGTTTTTGAGATTCGCCCGTTTTGTTGCATGTATCAGTAGTAGCTCTTTCCTTTTTATTGCTGAATACTATATATAGTGTATACCTGTATCTATACCTATGCCACAGATTGTTTATCCATTCATCTGTTGATGGACATTTGGGTTATTTCCAGTTTGGTGCTGTTATGAAGGAAACTGTGATAAACATCGATGTACAAGTCTCTGTGTGTACCTTGTGTTTTCATTTCTTATATGTAAATACCTAGGAGTGGAATTGTGGAAATGACCGGGTCATACCATAAATGCATATTTACCTTTTAAAGAAACTACCAAGCTGATGTCCAAAGTGGTGGTAGCCTTTGACAGTCTCACCAGCAACGTATGAGAATTCCAGTTGCTCCACATCGGCACCAACACCTGGGATTGTCAGTCGTTCTAATTCCCTGAAGTGTTTTTAACCATCAATTAACATCTTACTTTCAAACAACTGTTAGTCAAGTGCTACTCTGGAAATGTGCTTCAGGAGCTATTTCCCCTCTGGTTCCCCGTGGTGATGCTTTTGCTTCTCCCATTCACATGGTATCTCTATGTGGCAGAGACACTTGTCGTGATTACGGGAAGTAAATGGTTGTCCCTAGGCCACGAGTCTGCTGAACATTAGGATCCAGGCTCCCGCCCCACAGTTCAGGGCTCTTTCCAGGATGCCAGGGTGTCCCGCTCCAGAGTTGTCTGCAGTTACATCTCAAGTGAACAGCCTTATTATTACTCCACTGTGCAAAGACTGTGAACTGAAGACAGTTGTAATTGACACAGAACCCAAATTAATATGCATCAAGCATCTGCCTAAAGTAATTAGCCAGTCTGCTGAGCACATAATCAACAATTGAATCCAGTAAATTTTATTCTGTAGGAACACACACTGAAGATTAAATCTATTTTAAATTTGCTTAATAAATTGTGATGGATATTTGCATGTCAGTCTACCCCCTCTAACCTACTGAGTTGTCCTTCTAAATATTGTTACTTGACAAAAGCTTTGTACAGTTTGGAGTTACTGAGTCATGAGCCAGTCTTCGGTTTTACCATTTCATCAATAAAAACTGGCCCTGGGTGTGGCAAAGTACCATCAAGGAACCGGAAAAGACAATAATCAATTAAAATTTTTCTTCCTCAGACACAACTCAGTAAAGAAAAAATTAATAGGCTGCAATCTCATTTAGGAGTCACTAAAGCAAGCTATGGCTTATGCATTAAGCTACGCAGGAGAAGGAATTCTAGAAGAAAGTAAAATAGTTCTTTTAGGAGTTTGTTCTATGTCTACATAGTTAGAGAGATGAATCTAAGATATCTAAGAATCTAGGAAAGGTGTATTTCTTCCGAAGAAAATAAGCATTTTTTAGGACACTGGGGTCCTGCTTACCCTCCAGAGTTCAACCAGACACTTCAGAACAACCAATAAAAATTCTGAAAGGTTCTTAGTTGTCAAAAATCAAGATTTTATGGTTATGGCATTTCTAGCAGATTAATACTGGCTGAGAGCACAGAGAGTCCACAAAAGAGGAAAGTGAAGGGGCAGTTCATGTTAGCCTGGGGCTTTGCTTTATCCAGAGAAGGAAGGAGAGGACGATGTCCATCCCACACAGTGAATGAGAAACAGGGAGGCACAGGATTGAGTCTGAAAACCTTTGTACTTCCTGCTGCCTCTCACAGGCTGCCTTCGATGGTTTGTTTGTGTTAGTTGGCACTGCTGGAGATGTTTAGCATATTCAACAAAAATAGGTACAGGCACACTTTGAAGTCCTTCTTGATCCTCTGTGCCACTGCTCCTCATACATCTTCTATGTGTAACACACTATATCCTTAATAATATTTTAGTTTCTGGAATAAAGCATCTTCTAATTAAATTCACGACTGACATAAAAACAAGTGGGGGTGGAAAAGGGGATAAAATGCAGAACCAGAATGTGATAGAGGAGACGGAAAAGTCAATCCACATAAACAGTAAAATTCAAATGGGATTAAATATAGAGAAATTCACTTGACGGGGGAGGGAGAAGAAACTATCCAAACATGCAGAGGCAAAATGGAGGAGACCTGGGCTGTTATAAATATCTCAGCGATGCATAACCAACCCCCAGCTAAAGCCCCACTGTGGTGCTATGGAGAAAATGAGTATAACCCCGAGGGCTCTAGCAGAAGAAGCCAGAGCGTGCAGGAAGACCTCATGATTCTCCCTCCTTCTCTGCAATGGCTGGCATTGTTCTGTGTACTGGGTCCCTTATAATAGCTGGCAGAGAAATGAAATCAGTGGCTCTCAAGATTCAGGGCTTTCAGAATCACCTGGAGGGCTGTTAAAATGCAGAGCCCTGGGCCCCATCCCCACAGTGTCTGGTGCAGTAGGTCCAGGGTGGGCCTCAAGAACTTGCATTTCTAACAAGTTCCCAGGTGAAGATAATGTTGCTGGTTGAGGGACCACCCAAGGTTTTGGAAGGAGCTTCTCCTAGAAAAAAGGTAAAGAAAGTGGACTTACTATGTCTAGACAAGAGAAGCCAGAGCCCGAGTTTAATAAGAACCTTTACTAATTAGGAGGGCATAAAGAATACCTGAGTGCTATTGAGGAGTTCATTCTACCGTGGACAGGACAACTTGCACAGGTGTTACATTTGCTGAAAGAATCAGGGCTGACCTCGGGACAATCTAACTTGAAAAATTTTGAGGACTAAAATTTTGAAAGATTTTGATAACTACCATCTCCCTTGGGTATCATGTTCTAGACATCTAAATCTAGAGATTTCAGTTATCAAAAATTTTCTAGACATGATACCCAAGGGAGATTTTAGTTATCTCTGCAGGAAGTTTAGAAAAGTATGGAGGGAGTTATCCTTCTGGCAGAGTTTAGGAGACCTACTGGGTTTCATCTGGCTCAGTTCCATGGCTCTGAAGCATCTCTTGAGGCTATAAGCAGGAAGCAGAGCCCCAGGTGTAAGGCTCCATCACAGGCCCCTCCTGCCTGCAGGGGCGTAGGTATGGCAGAAGCTCTAATGGTCTCAGGAAAGAGAACTGAGAACAGTGTCACTCCTCCAGCCACCATGAGGACGAGAGGAAGTGAGGAGAATCAGAACCTGAGCAGCATTCGGGGCCGATGCCCAGACACAGGCAGCAAAGGCCGAGGCAGTCATCACGCAAGCTTGGGACACACGACCGGGGCTCAGCAGGGACAGGGATGGGACAGGAGTCAGATCTTAGTGCAGAGGAAGGGGCTGACAGAGAGAAAAGAGAACTAGAGAAGACAGTGCTGTGTGGAAGGTCTCCCCAGGCTGCCGGCAGGTGCGCATTTGGAACATACTGGAAAATGCAGAAGACACAGAATTGGAAAGCCACAGAAGGGCCTGGGCTGGGCTCTCCTGGGAGCATGGCTCTGGGATCCGGCGTCCCGGACAAGGAAACACTATAGTTTGGCAACAATTCAATTTGAACATGATGGATGGAGCACCCAGCGTGGGCGGGGTCCTGAGCAAGGCTGAATCAGTCTGGTCTCAGCCTCCTTTCAGGTACAGACTCCTAGTGACAGTACAGGTTGATGACAGTGAACGGAGCAAGGGGAAGTCAGAGGTGAGGGAATGACACAGGCAAGCTTCACGAAGGAGGGATCCTGGGCAGAGGGACAGTGGCGGGACCTTCCCAGACAGAGGAGGTGGGAGAGGCATTCCAGGCCAGGGGCACAGGGTGTACAGGGAGCCTGCCCCCTGTCAGCTGAGCTCAGCGGGGCCGGCGGGGGGGGGGGGGGGGGCGCCCCCCCCCCTGCCGATGCAGGGGACACGGGTTCGTGCCCTGGTCCGGGAGGATCCTGCGTGCTGTGGAGCGGCGGCGGGGGGGGGGGGCGGATAAGGGGAGACCATAGAGGTTAAGACATAAGTGGTCTTGGTTTCTTCTTGACCACGTTTAAAGTTGAAAGTTAAGTATCAGCTAAGCAGAGATAAATAAGAACACATATCTATTGAATTTTAGGCCATTGTCTCTGTTATAATTGAATATATTCGTATTTGTATATTCATATTTGTAGATTAGCAGCTATTTAATAGTTATCACCCATATTCACTAATAATGAAGAATAAAGCTACCTGCTTTTTTGTAAGTATTGATATGTTAGGATTAGTGGGATTAAATATCTTCTAATTTAAAAATGACTTTTCATTGAAAAGAAACAGAAGAAGGGCGGTCAGGAGAGGTGTCCAGGTAGCCATGGCTGCCTGGACATGGAGCCTTTACCTGCTGACCGGGCTTGATGGGGGAGAGCGTGATGCCCTGGGTGTTGATCACTGGCAAGATCTGGTTCCCGATGACCGTGGCGATGATCTGGCCCTGGGCGTTGGTCAGGAGCTGAGGGGTGATCGGCTGCACCTGAAGGCCCTGAGCGCCGCTCGCTGCTTGGCTTGATGGCCCCGGGTTCGGCATCAGAGGAATGGTCCCAATAATCTGCAAGAGACAGGCCCACAGGTCAGGTTCCAGGCTCTGTTCAGGGTCTGCACATGCACCTGAAGACCACTCATGCCCTGGCCTCTATCAGAGGCTCCCCGAGAGCCGATTCATAATCCTTGAACAGATCTGGAGATGCGGGTGTGGAAGAAAGTGGCAGAGGATACGAGCATCTGAAGGAGAAACACACATGGATCGAGTGCGTGGAGGGAAGGGGAAAATCTCTTATATAAAAATGAAATCACGGATGAACAGATACACACTACTACATATAAAATAATGGACAAGGACCTACTGTACACCACAGGGAACTCTACTCAACACTGTGTAATAACCTATCTGGGAGAAGAATCTGAAGAACAGATACGTGTATATGTATATGAGTCACTTTGCTGTACACTTGAATCTAGCACAACACTGCAAAGCAACTGTACTCCAATATAAAATAAAAATAAAAAATAAATAAAATCAAGCATCAGTGAGGGCAGAAGCATGTGAACTCTGCCAGGGTAGCACAGATACCTGCTCTGTCTCAGAAGCAGATGGAGGATAGGCTCCTCACACACTGAAGGCCCTCGTCTGGCTGGGGAGCCGCACCCCTTCCCCCCAGGGCCCCTCACGCACAGCGTGCTCCCTTCCATCCTCTCCTTTGCTCGGGTCTCCGCTGCTGTTTCCATCCCTCCTTGCCTTCCCCGACATCCTGTAACTCTCTCAAGGTTGGGGGCCAGCTCCCTGACACCCCAGCGGCACGAGGGTGCCCCAGCGGCACCCTGGTGCTCACAGTGGTTGACAGCCTGGGTCCTGGAGTCAGGGACACAGGAGTCCATTCCCAGCACTGTCAAGGAGCCTAAGCTTTCTGAAGGCTGGAGAGAACTGGGGTCATAAACGAATATTTGAAACTCAAAATAGAGGGGAAATGACTACCGAGGGCTGAAATTGTTTTAAAGTGCATTTTATTTTTTATTTAGTTTTTTAAATAGATTTAATTACATTAACTACTTATTTATTTTTGGCTGTGTTGGGTCTTCATTGACGCATGCAGGCTTTCTCTAGTTGCGGCAAGCGGGGGCTACTCTTCGTTGTGGTGTGTGGGCTTCCCATTGCAGTGGTTTCTTTTGTCGCGGAGCATGGGCTCTAGGTGTGCGGGCTTCAGTAGTTGTGGCTCGTGGTCTCTAGATCACAGGCTCAGTAGTTGTGGCACACAGGCTTAGCTGCTCTGTGGCCTATGGGATCTTCCCGGACCAGGGATCGAACCCGTGTGCCCTGCATTGGCAGGCGGATTCTTAACCGCTGTGCCACCAGGGAAGTCCTAAAAGTGCATTTTAAATGATGTGTTTTAAACTGGCCCTAAAGGTTAGCAGCCCAAGGCTTCTGTGGCAGGTAGGGCAAGGCTATCCTTTGCATCTGATAGCCTCTGTCTTCTGTGAAGGGATGGTGCGGAGCGGCACAGGAGAGACCTGGCTGGATCCGAGCACCGTGTTATGGAGAAAGGGAGCATGAGCTGAGGCGTTTATAAGATCTGGAAACACTGGCCACATTCATGGACCACGTTTGTCCCTGTCCACCAACACGGACAAATCTAATCTGTAAGCTTGCTTTGGGTTAGGGAGAAAAACAAAAATCTGATCTGTAAAAAGAGAAAATGTGATCTCCGTTTCCCAATGTCATGGACTCTCCTGGGGAAAGCTGTGGAGCTCGCGTTGGACGCTTTCCCTCCAGGTACCACAGGGTGGTTACGCAGCTCTGCTCTGCTGGTCGTCTTCCAGGGCCGCTTCCCAGATGTGAACTGTGGTGACTCGGCCTAGGGGCCACCGCGACACATTAATAATACCGCCTTAGGAAGTGTTTCGTGGATACGGTTTCCGTTCATCCCACATTCTCACAACAGCTCAGTCCTGTGGGCCCTAGTCCTGCCCCTCGTTATTTGATAAGAGAGTGGAGGGTCAGAGAGGAGTTTGCAAGTGGCAGAGCTGGAGTCCACGTCTGGCGCTCCATGTGCTCACTTTGTAAATGTCACCTGGCTCCTACCACAGGGAGGACACGGGAGGGCGCCTGCTCTTAGGAAAGGCCCTGCATCCTGTTCGCAATTTCCCACCAGATGGGAAATTGTAGACTAAGTTTATAAACGATGCCGTTTTCTATGCCCACAGTACCCCAAGCAGGGCTTTGAACTCAGTTTCTCAATAACTGTCTTGGGAAGGAATGGTTTCCGGACTCAGCTGTCCCTTGGATTCAAGATACAAGTGGCACTGCAGAGGACCTGTGAGACCACACGATTCAGTGCCAAAGATCACGATGGAGAGACGCCCCGCTTCTCACTTGGCAGGCCGTGTTTCTACCACAAAAGCCCCTGTGGGAAGGTGCTAATGAAGGAGCTGTGTGAATATCTAGTCTCCACGGCAGCTGTCAATGGCTGCCGATAGAGGTCAAGTAATTAGGTGAGAGTGGTCAGTGGTCCCGCAGGGAGTCTGCAGCTCTGCAGCCTCACTGAGCAAGCCTGCGCTGTCCCCCCAGCAGCACTGGCCACGAGCGTGTCCCATCCGTGCCGCAAGGACAGGAGGCATCCACGTCAATAGATCAGGGCACGTAAGTACTTTACCGATGACTGGTCTCGCATTAGGCATCCCAGGATGCAAAGGCTGTTCTTGTGACCCCACAGGCAATGGCGATAAGGCCTGGGGAGCAGCCTCCTTGTCCTACTCTGACGCTGGCTACTTCCACGTTCCTCACTTGAACCATTAAAGGTACAACCCCCCTTGCCCCCAGTGCACTGTGAAAGCTCAGAAACTGACCCATCGCCTCTGGCTTCCTCGTATCTTGGGCCTGGGAAGCCCTGCTCCACCTGATTGGGCCCAGTTGAAAGCCTACGGAAGGAAGCTGGATTCATTTAGGTGGCAGGGTTGCGGGTTCTATTTTAGGCAGGATGTCAGCGTGTTTAGCCTGGAAGAAGGCTTCAGAGGGAGGCAAGGCACCTGACAGCTACAGAACACACTGTGACGCAGGCGAGGCTTTCTGCTCCCGAGAAGATTGACACGAGTCGGTGCTCACCTGGCGGTAATGAGAGGCTCTGCCTGCGTTCTGCGTGGAGAGAAGAAAGGCAAACGCGAACATCTCACCAGCCTCTTCCCCAGGTGCAGCCTCACTTGCCAGTACTGCACGGTGACATTAAAACATGGTGCCACTTTTTGTGTGGCCCCCCCCCTTCGTTCCTCTCTTCTTTCCTGGGCCCTAGCATCACTTACAGAGGGCAGGACAGCGCTAGTGTCAGAGCCAGAGGGACCTGCAACGGCCTGACGGAGGGAACACTTTCATAGGAAGGTTGTGCCTGCGAGGTGGCAGGGCAGGAAGGGTGATTCTAAAGTCGGGAAGGCTTCCGTGAAGTTGAGCGTTTTTCATTTTTGTTCCTCTCTCAGGGGAGTTGGGATCATCATCTCAGCATGTCAAACACGTGGCAGTGCTTTGTGGGGAATTTTCTAATATTCCCCAATGCCTTACAACTCGCCCATTTTCATTTGCTTCCATGCATCCAAGTGTGGAGACAGTCACATACTGTGTTGTTGAAAACTTGTCAGATGTGCCAATTTTGCTTAGGGGGCTCCGATTCCTTTCAGCGCTTCCATAGATCGCACGGAAACTCCTCCTCGGACTTCCAACAAGGAAATGAGAGGAATCCAGGCAGCAAGGCGGGAGGCTCTTTGACCTGGGAAACTCAGATTTTAAATGAAAGGCCTTTCGCTATTCAAGGGAAATATTTGCATCTACACATGTTGCGACTAAATCAGGAAATCAAAACTGAGGTTTGAAAAGGCGATTTGAGGGCAAAGACAGAAAGAGGCCGCTTTTAAAACACTTGTAGTTCTGGGACTAGCTTTCGGAGTTTGATTTTCTGGTTCCCAGAGCTAGGGATTTACTGCAAGGAGACGTCCTGATGGAAGGGCATGTCACTGAGCAAACCAGGCCACTAGGCTGGGACTCCGGATGCAGGCACTGGACACGCAAGACAAATTCCAGCCCTCCTGAGATGCTGAGGACTCTGGCAGAGCAGTCTGGTACCTGCAGACTCTTCTCTATGTAAGGCACCAGGAAGATCCAACTGGGGCAGGGGAGGGGGCGATGAGACAGGCATGTTACATGCAAAGATTCTAACAATCCAATGGAGAAATGATATACACCAAAGGAGTGGCAAGGACTATCTGATAAAAATCTCTCTACTCATGTGGTCAGTGCTCAGAAAAATACTGGGACCGAATGAGTGATTTCAGAGGAAGAAAGATGAAGATGGATGGCTTGGAAGACTTCATAGAAGAGATGAGGGCAGAACATGGGTCTTGGAGGTTAGGTGAGGATTTGGCAAGACAGAGAATCCATTCCAAACAAGAGGTGAGAAACATGGCGGTGGCGAGTTAACTAGTTTGCATGCAAAAGAGGGTTCAGACATTGGGCAAGTGACAGGTCGGCCTGGAAGGGTCAAATTCCCTCCAGGCAAGAGATTCCAATGAATGGTTTTTGAGGGGGGCCGTGGGGAAGGGTACTGAAATGGAGCTGTTGCAGCTGGGAATGTGATCATGTGGCGAGAATGGACTAGAGTGTCGAGAGACTACAGACCAGGAGATCAGTCGCTAGGATGCCACTGTAGTCATCCAAGTGTGAAGCAAAAGGCTTCAATGAATCCTTCATACAGGGGTTGCTTGATTCGTTGCCTTCCACTTCAGTTCAAAAAGCATGGCCTATTTTATGCCTAGGCTGCAACATTAGAAAACTTTGAGTCAAGTTAGTGCCCCATCAGTCCCACAGCAAATAGCACAGGCATCATTTGCAGTGATCCCCTCTGTCTTTGCCCTGACTCCGAGGGTAACGTTTCATCTCTGATGAATGCTTTAACCAGGAAGATGGTATTGTAATGATAATCTGTGACCTAAAAGAGTTCCAGCCTCTCTGACAGGGGACTTACTTGGTTGCTGCAGTTCATGTTCACTTGTCTCTTTGCTTATAGGAGTTAA